TTTCCTAGTACTTTCAGAGCTGTGCAACCATCACCTGGATAGCCACTCCCTTTTCCCGGGGATCTTCCCTGCCGAGGGATCAAACCCAGGTCTCCTGCATTGCAGGCAGATTCTTTGCTGTTTGAGCCACAAAGGAAACCCCTACCTAATTCTCACCATCCCCCAAAGAAGTCCTAAACCCATGAGCAGTCACCCCCACTCTCTCCCCCAGGCCCTGACAACCAGGAAACCACTGTGTCTGTGGATCGGCCTGTTCCGGACGTTTCCCATCAGTGGAATCACACCCCGTGTGCCCTTCTGTGCCTGTTTCTCTCACTGAGCGTCGTGTTCTCAGGATCTGTCCACGGGGTAGTGAGTGTCTGGGCCTCACCCCTTTCTATTGCTGAGTGATGCTCCTGTGTGAGAAGGACCACATTGTGTTCACTCATCACCTGTTGAGGGACACTTGGGGGGCTTCCACTTGTGGCTATGACAAATCACGCTGTTCTGAACAGTCACGTGTGAGCTTTGTGCGGACTTAAGTTCTCATTTCTAACAGGCGGATACAGAGGATCCAGTGGGCCGTTTCCTGCCAACGGGGCAGTGGGCCAGCAGCCAGAGAGCCGGTGGGTCACACTGTCGTGTTCCCGTCTCTGCATGGTCTCTGATGATCATAGTTCTGGCTGGTGCTGCTGGAACAGGTCGTGCTGGACATGTCTGCTCTGAGGTGTTTCCCTTGGGAAGAATTTCCTCATCCGAAATGGAAGAACTGAGCCTGTCGCTGGCTCAGAATTTGTGACCCAGCCGCTGTCCCAGGAGTGAGCCTGGCTCTCCTGTGAGCTGTCCACCCGCAAGATCCTGTCAGGGAGGCACTGCTGGTGATGCAGGCTGTGTCCTGCCTCAGGGTAGTGGTCAAAGGGCTGCACCCTGGGGACTTCAGTCACATTCCAGTTGAGGGGACCTGGGTCCTCAGCCTCAGGGGCTGCCATGTCCTCATTTGCAAAGTGGGGGTAATGACAGCCTCCCAGGGTTCTGAAGATGAAACATGATATGTGCCTGGCTTAGCACCGCTCGGGGTGCCTGGTAAACTGCAAGGTGGGTGGGGATATCATGATTTTATTATCTGACAAACTGACCATGGACACAACCATGGGCTTCCCATGGTAGCTCGGATGGTAAAGAATCCACTTGCAATGCAGGAAACCTGGTTTCGTTCCCTGGGTCAGGAAGATGCCCTGGAGAAGGAAACGGCAACCCATGCCAGTATTCTTGCCTGGAGAATTCCACGGACAGAGGATCCTAGCGGGTTACAGTCCATGGGGTAGCAAAGAGTCAGACATGACTGACTGACTAACAGTTTCACTTTCACAACCAAAGAGGCAGGGAATGCGCTGAGGAGGAGAAGGTGCTTTGGGACTAATCAGGAGCCCGAGTTGGGGCATGGCTCTACCAAGAGGTATGGACTGGGGTAGAATGTTCTACCACCTGTCACCACCCCACAGTGGACTGGACTGCTTGGAGAAGCAGTGAGGCCTGGAGGTGTCCGAGGGAGCGGTGAACAATCCCAGGATGCTCGTGGTCCTGGTGGCAGGAGGAAGGGCTGCAACAACCCTTGGTTCTACTGGGAAGGGTGTCACCAGGTGTTCACTACATTTCATTACAATACTGTTGCTGGGAGTCATTTACTTTTACTTACAAATCGGATGTATCCAAAATAAGGAAAGTGGACTTCACGTCACTCTTTTATTTTAATTATCTATTTATTTATTTGGCTGCGCTGGGTCTTAGTTGGGGCTTGTGGGATCTAGTTCCCTGACAAGAGATTGAACCTGGGTCTCCTGCATTCGGAGCGCAGAGTCTTAGTCACTGGACCACCAGGGAAGCCCCAACTTCATACCATCCTTGCCTAGTGGCTTTCGTCTGGGGGTAATTTTGTCCTCCAGCAGGCACTGAAGGACACTTAGACACTGTCTAAATTCACAGGTTCTAGGAAGTAGGATGTGGACAGATCTATTTTGGAGGACCTCATTCAACTCACTACATTATGTGAAGAATTACCACAAATTTAGTAGCTTAAAAGCACGCCCATTCATTAGCTTACAGCTCTGTAGGTCAGAAGTCTGGCAGGGCTGGGTCCTTTGTCCAGTCTCACAAGCTAAATCAGTGTCAGCCAGGGGTTTTCCTGGTGGTCCAGTGGTAAAGACTCTGCCTTGCAATGCAGGGGATGCGGGTTTGATCCCTGGTCGGGGAACTGAGATCCCACATGCTGCATGGCATGGTCAATAAAAAAAAAATGAAATAAAAGTGGAAGCCAGACTGCATTCCCACCTAGAGATCTGGAGATTGGGGTCCTCTTCTAACTCACCTGGTTGTGGTGGGGTTCAGTTCCTTGTGATTGGAGGGCTGAAGCCCTGATCTCCCTGCCACCAGCTAGGGGCTGCTCTGTGCTTCTAGAGGCCATACATCCTACCTCCTCAAAGTCAGCTGTGGTGCTCTGGTGCAATATGCCTGTCTTATGCTTCCAATCTCTCTCACTCCGTCTTCTGCCATCAGCTGGAGAAACCAGCCAGCAAGGAACTGGGGACCTCAGTCCCCACACCGAAAGGAATTCTGCCAACAACTTGGATCAGTCCAGACGAGGGCTCTCCCCAGAGCCTGCAGGTGAGAGTCCAGCCGGGCTGACACGTGGATCTTGGCTTTGTGAAACATCCAGCTGAGCCGACAGGGACTTCTGACATTCAGAACCGTGGGATAGGTACTTCCTCTGTGGTCCAGTGGATAAGACTGTGCTCCCAATGCAGGGAGCCTGGGTTCCATCCCAGGTTGGGGAACTAAGATCTCACATACTGTAACCAAGTCCTCATGCCACAACTACTGAGCCCTCATGCTCCAGAGTCCATGCACCACAATTAGAGAAGCCCATATGCCCCAACAAAGACCCAGGGCAGCCAAAATAAATAACTGGGAAAAAAAAAAGAATGATGCGATAATAATTGGGCACTGTTTTAAGCTGTTCAGTCCGTGTTACTCAGCGCAGAAGATGAACACGATACTGCCCACAGAGGCTCATGAGAATGGCAGATTCAGGTCTCACATCCCTCTTTCTATCCATATGTCTATTCACTCTATGGAATTATGAGTAGAATCTGCCATCACCATTGGACTTGAGCACTATCTTTTATTGTTTAGGCAAGAATAGTCCAGTGTCCTCTAGAGAGCAGGTCTGTATGACAATGGATGCTGTCGTACTAAACTACATGGAGTTTTGAACAACTCACCTCATTGGTCCCTCCTTGAGATGCATAGGTGAACACACAGGTATATTTGTCCTAGAGAATTGAAGGGAAAACGTCTCAGCAGATAACTCAATAGTAGATAGCACTGGAGGTTCAGGGTCTCAGAATGTCCCTCTGAGATCCAGAATCAAGAAGATCCTGCTTCTGAGTATCTACACTCAGAGGAAGGAGGCAGAGTCAGAGCCTTCTGGCTGATGTCCCTGGAGGCCAATATCCTTGGAGGCCTGGAACTCCCCCACCAGCCTCCCCACTTGGGGAGCTCCTGGCTCTGGACAAACAACCCATGTGGCTTCTAGAAGGGGGAGATCACATCCCCTCCACCACCCACCCATTTAGGAACATGAAATCCGGAAGTAGGGACACCTGGGGTCCATTTCTGCTCCGCTGTGGGCCTTGGGCAAGTGCAAAGCTTTCTGTTTCTTCACCTGGAAAATGGGCCTCATATAAAGAGTCTGGCACAATATCGGGTTGTAAGGAGGTAATAAACAAATACTGACTATTGATATCGTTGTTAGACTGGAAAGCAGGACTGGGAGAGGAAGCAAGTTCTCCAACAAGCTGAGGATGGGCTAGACTAGACCTAGGCCTGCTGCCTCTAGATAAGGAGGGTCTGGCCTCAGATTTCAATGAAAAAGATGGGGGACCTTGTGCAATGTAAGAAAAGAGCAACATCTGTCCACTTCCTTCCTGGTCAGAGCTGAGGCAGAACGACCTTCTGTGGGGCCTGGAGGCATATGCCCCAGGGCTTCCAGCTCTCCTCTCCCCACCTCTGGGCCCATCCTGCCCTCCAATAAGGAGGGGCTCACTTGAGTCTAAACCAGACAATCCTGAAGGAAATCAACCCTGAATACTCATTGGAAGGACGAATGACTGATACTGAAGCTGAAGCTCCAGTACTTTGGCCACCTGATGTGAAGAGCCAACTCATTAGAAAAGACCCTGATGCTGGGAAAGACAGAATGCAGGAGGAGAAGGGGGCGACAGATGACGAGATGGTTGGATAGCATCACTGACTCAACGGACAAGAGTTTGCGCAAACTGCGGGAGATCGTACAGGAAAGGGAAACCTGGCATGTTGCAGTCCACGGGGTCGCAGACTCGGACACAACTGAGCGACTGAAGAACAACACTTGGGTCTGAGGGATGGGGCTGCTTGGGCACGATGGGCAAGTGAGATGAGTTAGGGACTGAGGCTAGTGACCTAGCCCCCTCAAAGAAGCCAGCCCCCAGGAGCCTCGCCTCCTCTTCATTCATTCCAGCTTCCCTACCAAGCCCCGCCCCCTAGCCTCAGGCCCTGCCCCTGCCGGGGCCGCCCTCCTGGTCCCGCCCCCGCCGGTCAGCACCCCCTCCCCAGGCAATGCCCCGCCTGACACCATCCCTCAAGCCCCCGGGGTGTCTGAGGCACGTACCCCAGGGCCCACGTTCTGGGAGAAAGAATGCACCACGCCGCCAGGCCGCACGTCAAACGCCACCGTCGTGGGCTCGGACACCGCCTCCACCGGCCTCAGCGCCACGGCCGCCAGGAGCAACGAGACCCACAAGTTCGCGCCGCCGCTGCCATTCCTTCTTCCGCTGGGCGCTGCCATCTTGGGATCAGGTTCACGGGGGCAGGGACGGCGGACGGAGCGCGGTGAGGGACACGTAGGGAGTCTGGCGGAGGCCACGTCGCCGTCGGCGCGACCACGTGATCCGGAGGGCCCCGCCCCTCCTGCCCGTGCTGCCATCTTGGGGGCGGGGCTTGGAAGTCCCAGGCGCGTTCTGTGGTTGATGAAACAGGGTTTCTTGGTTTGGGGTCCATTCGTCCCTCACTAGGTAAGTGACTGACCCTTCAACTCTTCTAGTTAGCACGTGTACAACGAATGAAGGATATAAAGGAGCACCACTGAAATTCAGGTTAATGCATGTAGGCAGAATGAGGGAAATGGAAGATCACCATTGAACAAACAACTCTTTGTTACTTCAAGATTCGTGGATCCATGCTTAAAACTGGTGGGGAAGAGGATTTTTGCATTATCTCAAAGTATTTCCCCCCGAGATACATAATAGCTACAAAGAAAAAAGTAGTAATTTTAGAGGGGCGGCACCATCTTTAGCCCATTGAGCAAAGTCAACGTCGTTAAAAAAGACAGTGACTTCATGGAGCCACCATGGGATACAGAGAAGGACATTCTGAGTGGCATCTCCGTGGAATTTCTGTGCAAAATGCACGGCCTCAATCTGATCAGAGCAGATACCAGAGGGACCCAAGTTGAGGGACATTCTACCTAGGTAGCTGGCAGTTCTCTTTAAAAATGTCATGAAAGACAAAGGCTGAGGAACCATCACAAAATGAGGAGACCAAGACGTCGAAAGACAACTGGGATCCAGGATTGGATCCTTGCCTTAGTCTGGGTTGTTAAAACAATTTATTTCTTACAGCCTGTTCTGAGTGGGGGTACCTGCTCATGTTAAGAAATGCTTCCCTCTTTGCACCTGGCTGCCGTGGACCTGTTAGGAATTGGCTCCATAAATCGGAGGACAGCAGACTGTTTGGTGTTTCACACAGCACAGTTCTTTTGATGTCTCCATTTCCCTACCTCCCGTGTTTGACTTTCGGCATGTCCCTATGAAGGATTCAATTAGTGGCCAAACGCTGTAGGTGACAAGGTATTTGGTTGTGAGTAGTTTTGAGTTTCCTACTCAAGAGGGGTAGGTGTGTGTTATGTGTGTGGTCTTCTCAGACTGAACCCCAGCCTCTTGTTTCTGTTTTTCCTTTTTGCCTATAAAAACAAAACCCAAAATAGAAACAAAAAACTGAAGGGATTTAAAGAAAAAAACCATCATTCCCAAGATTCTGCTTTTTAATCATGACATGAAATCTAGCAGTCAAAAAAGATTTGGTAACACAACTACCACGGCTTCTGTCTCCATGGTCAGGACACCATAAACAGGGTGAGTGTGGACATCATAGAGGGTGCATGAAGGAACTCCCTTGTGGTAAATTAACAGCTCTGTGTGTATGTATATATATATATATGTATGTATGTATTTTTTTTTTTTTCCTGGATATGAGGCATGTGGGATCCTAGTTCCCTGACCCAGGGATCAAACCTCGGTCCCTTGAAGTGGAAGCTTAGTCTTAACCAACAGATTGACCACCAGGGGATTTCCCAACAGCTCTGTATTTTGACTGTGGTGGTGGTTCTAGGAATCTGTACACGTGACAGAGTGGAATAGAACTACACACATATATGAGTGCCTGTGAAAGCTGATAAAATCTGAATGAGGTCTAGAGTTTAGTTCATTGTGCTGTATTCACATCATGTTCCTGGCATGACAATGTATTAGGGTTAGGTAAGATGTAAGCTGAGTACATGAGACTCTGCACTGTTTTTTGCAACTTCTTATGTGTCTATGGTCAATTTAAAACAAACAAACAGGAACTTCCCTGGTGGTCCAGCGCATAGAACTGGAATGCTTACACTGCAGGGGACACTTGTTTGATCCTTGGTCAGGGAACGAGGATCCAGCATGCCACAAGGCAGCGCCCCCCTGCCCCCCCAAAAAAAGTTTTCTGCTTGAGATGGTTGTGGGTTGCCAACTGCCAAGACTCCTGGGCAACCCTAGTGACTCCTTTCTCATCAAATTCTGTCATTCTGTGACTTGTGATTAGTTGTCTCTCCACTTTCACAGTGGATTATGGGCAAGATATATTCTTATTCCTGAGATGATTCTTAACATTCATTGGCTGAGCTTCCTACCCATTAAACATTTTGAAATCAGCAACATTGTTCAGTTTGCAACATGTATAACAATGCGCTTATTTCCTTCATATATAAAGAGTGTCTACAAATGAATGAGGCCAACGTATCAAAAGAAAGGTAGGCAAGGAATTCCCTGGTGGTCCAGTGGTTAGGACTCTCTGCTCTCACTACCAAGGGCTTGGATTCCATCCCTGACTGGGGAACTAAGATCCTGCAAGCCAAAAAGAAATTTAAAAAGGTTGGCAAATGATTAGCAGTAAACAAGTGCCTTAAAGCATGAAAATATTCATACACACATAAAAGAAATATGAGTTCAGATTACAGTGAGCTGCTGTATTTCACTCCCTGAGCTTTTAAAAAATAACTAACAGGTGGTACTGAAGACTCTTGAGAGTCCCTTGGACTGCAAGGAGAGCGAACCAGTCAATCCTAAAGGAAAGCAACCCTGATACTCACTGGAATGACTGACATTGAGGCTAAAGTCCCAATACTTTGGCCACCTTTTCCAGCCAACTCACTGGAAAAGACTCTGATGGTGGGAAACATTGAAGGCAAAAGGAGAAAGGGATGATAGAGGATGGCATCATTGACTCAATGGACATGAACTTGGGCAAACTCCAGGAGATAGTGAAGGACAGGGAAGCCTAGCGGGATCACCAGGGAGTGATGAAGAGGATCACAAAGAGTCAGGGATCACAAAGAGTCAGGGATCACAAACAGTCAGACATGACCTAGTGACTGAACAAGAGCAACACTGAAGGAATGGAGCAAGGGGCACACTTCACCAAGAGGTGTGCACATGGAGGCATTCTCCTTAGAAGGCAATATTGCAATATTCTTCAAAATTAAAAATGAATATGCCTTTCAATAATTCTAGGAAATTACCCTATAAATTCAGACATGCCCAAAACATGTACAAGGCTGTTTGTTTCAGGATCTTTTATAGTAGAGGTTGGTCAATGACAACCTGTGGGCCAAATTTGGCCAGTGGTGTGGTTTTGTAAAGAAAGTTTTATTGGCACACAGCCACATCCACTTATTTATACATTACCCTTGGCTACTTTTGAGTTGCAAGGGCCAGAGCTGAGCAATTGGAACAGAGACTGCCTGGGCCCACAAACCCTGAAATATTTACTCTCTGGTCCTTGACAGTCTATTGACCCCTGACTTATACAAAAAGCCCAGAATAATCCTATCCCTTGATAAGTGCCTGGCAAAATAAATTATGGCATTCCCAGAGCAAAACAGAAAGCAGGTATTAAAAAGAGAGACTGAGGGACTTCCCTATGGTCCAGTGGTTAAGAATTTTCCTGCCAATGCAGGTGACACAGGTTCAATCCCTGGTCCGGGAAGATTCCACATAACATGGGACAGCTAAGCCTGTGAGCCAAACTGCTGAACCCAGGCACTGCAACTACATAAGCCTGCATGTTCTAGAGCCCATGCTCTACAAGAGAAGCCACTGCAACTAGAGAGTAGCCACTGCTTGCCACAATCAGAGACACCCTGAGCAGATAAACGAAGACCCAGCACAGCCGAAAATAATTTTTCTAACAGGAGAGACTGGGGAGGGCATCGTTTTCCTCTCTACCGTTTTGTACTGGTTTATTTTTGGCCACACTGCAGCATGTGGAACTTCCCCATCCAAGGATCAAACTTGTGTCCCCTGCAGTGGATGCATGGTTTCTTAACCACTGGACCACCCAGGGGAGTCCCTGGTTTACTCTTTAAGCCATTGAAAATAAAAGTGAACCTTTGCAAAGGATGGAGCGGGTGGTGGCCCTGGGGCCGAGGTCATTGTGCCATTTGAGACACTCAAGTATCATGAGTGCGCTCGGCACGGGCAGGGTCTCCAGCCTCCTCTCTCAGCTGTTGGGACAGACTTGAAGAGTCCGCCCCCTGCCCCCACTTGTCGGTGTGTCCTGATGCTCCAACCACCAAATCAAGCCTCTAGACAAGAAAAGATGCAAAAGGAAGTCAGGGCCAGGCTGCCCATGACAGCCTGGGCTGGGTCCCTCAGTGGCACCCACAAGCTGCCTCAGGACCTCTGAGACGGTCCTTTGGGCATCTTCTAGCTGTGGCATGGGGCCCCCTGCCATTTTGTGCCAGGGCAGCAAGGCTGAACAAGCAGCCCCTCTCCCACCACTGCCAAGACTGCCCTGCCCTTGGCTCAGTCGCTTCCTGGGACTTCCCTGCCCACCCATGGAACCCCCATCACCAGCCCCGGGGAGTTTAGCTTTGAAGGAACCTTAGGCAGGTGGCAACGCTTCCATCTGGAATTGTTTAATGTGTCTACTTCTTACACGCATAATTATAAAAGAATAAGAATTGACAAAAATATTTTCTTTCCGTAATATGTAGAGGTGGTTCATCTCTCTGGTGGGATTTTGTTGTTGTTGTTGGTTTTTTTTTTTTTTTTTTAACCCGCCCCTGGCAGAACTCTTGGCGGGAGGGATGTTTTTTTTTTTTTTTTAACCCGCCCCTGGCAGAACTCTTGGCGGGAGGGAAAGGAAGAGTAAGGATAACCCTGAGGCGGGGAGGGTTCCACTCCCAACCCTGGAAGCCCGGTTAGTGCGGGCCAGGCAGAAACGTGGGACCAGATGGCCGGGCTGGAGAGGGGGCAGCAGCCGCTGGCCAGCAGAGCCCCAGCTGGTCACATTTCAGAGCCTGCCTAACAGCCGGGGGAGAGCTGGGCCGGAGGGCTGCCCGCTCCCCTGCGCACTACTTGCGGTCTGTTGGGTGCACGGCTCCTGTTTCGAGTGCTGGCTGGGGTGAACCCGGTGGCCAGCGGCAGACTCAGATTCTAGATCTAGGCACCCCTAGCTTTCTGTCTTTTAAATAATAAAACACGCCCCACATCCCGCCAAAAAAAAAAATCACAAGTGGGCGCAGGTGGGGAGGACAGGCAACTGCATGCTTCTGCACCGGTGGCTGGGCCCAAGCCTAGGCCTGGCCACCCCCCACCCGACCCTGCCCCCGGGGTGAATGGTGCAAAGGCCAGGCTTCTCTGAGTCTCTTTAGGCCTTCAGCGCCCAGTGGAGTTGAGGCTCCCAGACAATGGGGAGTGGAGGGATGGCTTGAGGAAGTGCTTTGTGGACGCTGGCCTCAGTGCTCCATCCTGGCAACCCAGAAGCAGCAGGCAAAAAACCCAGGAGCGTGAACAAAAACAAAGGTGTGGGGGCGAAGGTGGTGGCTCCCGGGGCAGGCAGTCCCGCGGGCTGGTGGGAGGAGGCGCGCTGCAGGGCCCGTGAGGCCACTCTGTCCCTCCTGCCCCCAGCATGCGCGATGGCGGCTGCGGAGCCACTTGTGCTCTGACTGTGCAGGCCCTTCCCGAGGTGGCCCCGGGCTCAGAGGTGTTCCTGAAGAAAGTGCAGCAGTGTGACTTCATAGTGCTCGCCAGACTCGGGGCAGCGGATGCTGTGTCTCTCGTTGGGGTAGATCTGGGTGGAAAGAGAAGGCAGGCTGGTGGCACCGAGGACCTTGCACCCCAAACCTCGCCCACTGAGTCTGGCTCCCAGCATCTCCCCTCAGGGCCTCGGTCCCACCCTCGCCACCCTGGGAAGAGGTGTTGCTCTGGAACTGAGGGATCCAGGTTCGAATCCCCCCTCCACAGACAACTTGCTGGGCAAGTGACAGCCTCCCCCCATGAGAGCTGAGTGAAAAACTCAGACCTTGTAGGGTCTGTGTGGCCCGGGCCAGCTAATGCAGATACTTAAGCACACATGAAAGCCTTGAGAAGCTGTGCTGCTCCTCTGTCCCCCAAACCCAGGGAGCGTGAGGAACTCATATCCGCAGAGGGGCTGGGGCTTCAAATCATGGAGACATTTGCTGCCCTCCACTTGAGCCACTCCACCCTGGGAAGAGGTGTTGCTCTGGAACTGAGGGATCCAGGTTCGAATCCCCCCTCCACAGACAACTTGCTGGGCAAGTGACAGCCTCCCCCCATGAGAGCTGAGTGAAAAACTCAGACCTTGTAGGGTCTGTGTGGCCAGAGCCAGCTAATGCAGATACTTAAGCACACATGGAAGCCTTGAGAAGCTGTGCTGCTCCTCTGTCCCCCAAACCCAGGGAGCGTGAGGAACTCATATCCGCAGAGGGGCTGGGGCTTCAAATCATGGAGACATTTGCTGCCCTCCACTTGAGCCACTGCATTTTACCAACAGGCCCCACTGGGGATTGGACACACCCAGGCTACAGGAAGGCCTCGCTCTAGGAGGGCCTCCCCTAAGGCTTTGCAAAGTGCTTCCTGGGCCCTCTCAATAACCAAGGGTGGGACCATCCCCTGAGAGAAGTGGCAGTGTGCTGGTGACGGGCCACGCCCAAGGAATCACTCAGTCCAGACCTGGCTGAGTAGCAGCAGGTGGATGGTGACAGCAAGGCGGGTCTTGCCTCTGGCCATGGAGTGAGGGTTCCTGGGGCAGGTGTGAGACCTGCTTCACACCCTAGGAATGCATATAACTGCTCAGAGATCTCCCCTCCTCCACCCTTGCCTTGAGTAATCCATCCTGGATGAGTCACAAGTCTCATCATACTGTCCCCAGCTCAGAGGAGTTGCCAGGCTGAGATCAAGACCTGGATTCCTGGGTCCTACTGCTCCCACAGCTTCATAGGTCCTACTCTTTCAGGGCCCAGGGCAGTGGCACGACCTGGGACAGACACCCACCCCTCTACGCCACCCTGGGTCCTGGGTGCCTGGTCACTTCCTCCCCCTGGGCTGTGAGGGCAAGGAGAAGCTCATCTGGTTCCCTACTGTGCTCCCAACCCCCAGTCGTGGGCCTGATCTGTGGCAACAATGTGAACAAGTTTGGCCTGTCAGCCTCCAGGCCAAGTGTTTCTGGGTGTCTGAAGCGGAAAGTGGGTGTGCTCCATCCCCCCTCTCCTACCCCCCAAGGGAGCATCTTGTCTCACTTTCAACTTCCCCTGGGAGGCAGAGGCACAAGTCTCCAGGCCCCAATGTGCCAAATGTTTTTCCTGAGAGCACTCATTTGACCCTCAACACCTCTCAGAGGCGGGGGTCATCAAGCCCATTTCATAGACAAGGAGACCAGGCCCAAGGTTAAAGGACCTGCCACCTTGGTCACTCAGGGAAAGAGGGGCTACCCCAACCGGGAGACTCGGGCCTTCAGGCTCAGAAGGGACGCTTGAGGATCCACCCTGGCCCTGCCTGACTCCTCAGCTCCGAAGCGCAGCTGCCGCTGGCTGTGCTGGAGGTGCATGTGAGGCTGGGGGCGGGGCTGCTCCCAACAGCTTTTCACCCCGCTGGAGCCCCGCCGGCCCCCTGCCCTGTGGCCCACGCGTGCACAGCCATAGATCCCTGAGGCCTGTCCCTCCTGCCCGGGGATCCTCAGTTTTTCCATCTGTTGAATGGCAACGTGTCCTCCCCTGACAGGACTGAGCACGTGAAGGGTCCAGGAAGCAGAAAGACCGCGTGGCAGCAGCAGGTAATCAAATCTGTCCTCCTTACATCCAGCATCAGGCCTCCCCCAACCAACCCCCCGACCACATCCCGCCCCTGGAGTCCACCAGGCCTCTCGCTCCCCACTCCCGGCCCCTTTCCTGCTGGGACAACTGACTGGTGCATGTCCCACTGGCCCCACGGGCCTGTCTACATGGCTGCCTGAAAGATGACTGACTTTTCCTCACCCTTAGGAAAAAATACAGCCCTCCCCTGAGACCCACTCCCAAAGCCCAGCCCTTAACCACAAAAGCCCCACCCTTACCGCCGAAGCCCCGCCCACCACCAGAGGGACCAGGCGGTGACCCGGGCCTGGTCCTCGGCTCTTCCGCTGGCTGCAGCCGCGCTGGTCTTGTCCCTGAGCCGCTCCCTTTCACTAATTTCCTGTGTCCAGTGTCCGCCACAGCGGACCCCTAGGCCTAGCTGATTAGCATCCTTAAATGTCACCTCCTCAGGGAATTCCTCTCCGACCCCTGTTCAAGGTAACCCCCCCTCACCACCATGCCTCACGCTTTCTGGGTGGGGTTCTGAACTTCAAAGCAAGCTTCTTGGTTTAAAATAACGCGTGTGCTCCTGCAGTAAGAGCCTGTGCTCCCCCAGTTCCCAGAGGTGGCCAGCAGAGGGCAGAGTGGACCGCGAGACATTTACTGAATGGACTCGGGGACCCAGAGAACCAGGGTAATTACCAATTACCATGAGGAGCCAGGCAGTCAGATGTGAGGATGGGGACAGGGACATGGGTTCCCCCTACTGCTCCCCTCCCCACCCACGCTGCTGCCCACCCTGCGAGCTCCTGGGAGGAGCCACTCACCTGGAGCTGGTAAGGCTTTCCTGCGCGGATCAGCTGGGAGACGAGGAAATTTGTATGGAAAAAGTGCACGTTCTCATCCAGGAAGCCGTGCAGGATGAGCAGGCGGTTGGGCCTGGAAGACAAGGTTGGGGTGAGGGTCTGAGGCTGAACCCCCTTCTCTCACCCTGCCCCATGGCAGTGAGGAGGCAGCAGCAGCAACTTGGCAGCAGATGGTGGAGCAACCCAATGATCTGGCGTGACTGGCAGATGCCTGGGAGGGAGGGTGTGGCTGGTGGTACCTGGAATGCCCTGAGGTCCCAGAAGCTTCTGGAATGTGCTAGGCCTGCCCCACCTAACACCACCAGTGGCTACCAAGCACTTGACATGTGGCGTGGGTGGTGGAGGATGATTCCTTTTGAAATTTTGACATAAAAATAGCTTACTGAGGTGACACATGATTTAAAATTCACTCATTTTAAAGGGAACAATTCAGGGGCATTTGGTACATTCATAATGTCATGTAGCCATCACCTGGATCCTAAGTTACAGAACATTTCCATCACTCTGAAGCAAATTCTATGCCCATGAGCAGTTGCTCCCAGCCCCTGGCAACCACCAGGCTTCTGTGTTTTATTATTCCAGTGAACTGAGATGAATGCAAAAGTGAATGGAAGTGTCTGCAGAGCTGGGGTTCTGAGCTTGGCTGCACCATGGCAGCCCCTGGAGTCCAGGTCACCCTCTAGACTGAAGAGAATGGCCTCGCAGGGAGAGAGGCCAGGACAGGGTCAGTCTGGGACAAGAACCTTGGTACTAAAAAAAAAAAAAAAAAAGAACCTTGGTACTAAAGGAGGGGCCAGGGTGGACGTTCACCAGACAGAAGGCACATGAGAAATGGCCCTGCCATTTTCTTTCCGATGGGAGAATCAGAAACCAGTGCCCAAAACATACATGGACTATCAGAGCTGGGCCAACACACGTAGGTTTTACAACCATTGTGGACGTGGGTTCTGAAGTAGAACCCGCAAGATAGAGGCGGTTAGGGTTCAAAACCGACGCATGGGGCCCACGGCAGGCCACGTGCTTAGGAGGTGAGGGGCGCTAGGGCCGTCCAAAGCAGTGTCACTGTAGATCTTCCTCTCCATGTTTCTAGGGGCAGGGCTGGGGGGGCTTCCCTCCCTCCTTGGTCCAAGAGGACCTGGGGGCCTGCTTTCTGTGAGGAGTGGTGAGGGAGGGAGGATAGAGGAAGGGGAGGGGGGGCCAGCGCAGACAGAAAAGGGGTGTGGAAGCCACGCCCACCCGGCCCCAGGAGAACCCAGCTTCAGTGGAGGGCCGGCCTTGGTGACCCGGCAAGTGGACGGAAGGGGGCCTTACTCATTGGGCAGCTTCTCCACATGCAGGGCCACGGAACCCGCCTCGTAGCCAAGCTGGTTGTTCTCTGGGACATCCATGTAGCGTTCTGTGTAGCCAGTGTCGTAGGCCATCCACACTGTGACTGGGGCGCCTGCGATGGCCACCTGGGGGCCACCGTGGGTGAAGGGGTGGCGGGAGAAAGAGACACACACACAGAAGTCACGTCCTGGGAGCCTGCGTTTGGCCTGTGGTCCCGGGGCCTCCCCCGGAGGACATGAGGAGCGGGCATGCACACGGGGGCTGGCGGGGAGGGGCCCTCCGACGTGTCTCCCCCGTGGACCGTGCACTGTCGTGGGAGGGTGGGTGAGCTGGGCGAGCGCTCAGGCTGGACTCGGCCCCTCCCTGGGCCCACTGCCTTCCTGCCTCCTCCTCCTCATCGCCCTGGCAGCGCCGCCGGCCTGGGGGCCCCTCCCCCGACGCTCTCCACACCATGCCCCACCTCTGCCCGTCCGGGGCCGGGGTCCCGAGCTCAGCCTCCCACAGAGAGCTGCTGGCAGGGTTTTGTGCAGCCGGACGCCATCCTGGGGTCAGCAGTGGCGGGCAATGAGGAGGGGGGCTCGGCCCCGTGGGGCTGCTGCGGGGAGAAACAGCCACGTGGCAAGGCCCCTGCCGAGATGCCTCCCCCGGGGGGGCGGGCTCCAAGGGGCACGGGGGCGCTGGCAGATGGGGGAGAAGGCGGGGCGGGACCCACCTTGAACACCTGGGGCTTGTGGATCAGCCCCATGAGCGAGAGGAAGCCTCCGTAAGACCAGCCGTGGATGGCCACCCGGCTCAGGTCAATGAAGCCGTACTTCTCGGCCACGAACTGCAAGCCCTCCACCTGGTCCTCGATTTCCACCTGGCCCTGGGGGATGAGGCCAGGTAGCCCTCAGTGGCCTCCTCCCAGGCCCATGCCCCACTGTCTCCCTTCCTTCGCAGGAGGCCCTCTCTGGAAGTCACCCTCTCTCCAGGCCCCATGCAAACCTCTCAGGGTGGTGGTCAGCCAGACCTGGCACCAACTCTGCCCTGCCATCTCCTGGCTGGCTCTGATACAGTCACATCCCCTCGCTGGGCCTCAGTTTCCCCATCCCCAAAATGAGGAGGTTAACATGAAGATTTTACAGTGGGTGTGAGGATGAAATGAGATGCGAGGTGCCCTGTATTCAGAGGCCTGGTGTGTGCCAAGACTCAAACAGCTGGTGTTATCACCACCACCAGCATGACCACCTCCATCCTCATCACCACCACTATCGCCACCAAATTCCTCATCATCATCAGTATCACCCCCACCACCATCAGTATCCCCACTGTCACCACCACCCTCACCACCACCGCCACCGCCACCAGTGCCTGTCTGACCTAGCCCTTGGGGCTTCTGCTGATCAGGCCTACACTGACACGCCTGGCTGCATCTGGGTCTTAGGCACCAGGTGGGGCATATGTGTATCTGTCTCCCCACGGGGCACCGCTCAGAGCTGAGCAGCAGAGTGGACATTTCTCTAATTACACAGGCCGCCCCACTTAGGACTGACACCCTGGCCAGGACTGTCCTTGAGCAAGATGCCTCAGGGCCGCCCCCAAACCCCAGGTCCCCCCACTTTCACCACACAAGAAGGGAATGGGAAGGGACATTACCATCTGGTTTTTCAGAGCCCCTTCGAATCGAAGCCCTCGCTGACAGGAGCCCCTGCCGTCAATCACGACCACAGCATAGCCCAGGGAGGCCAGGGTGTTGAGCCGCAAGTACTTGATTCCTTTGAAGGAGTTATTGACCAGCTGCACCTGTGGGGAAGGCAAGGCAGATGTGAGTCTAAAGAGGAGGCCTGCGCTCCATCATGAAGCCTGTGGATGCCCCAAGAGGAGGCCGCTGCCCCGGGCCCTCCCTGGGATAACCCCCTATCTCTTCAGCTACGTTTGCCTCCTTTCTACCCCCCTGTTATATCTAGAAATAGACACAAAAGCTGATGGGGAGGCTGGCAGGTTGGTGGTGCCGGGCAGTGTATCCCCCAAGTAATGTGGCTTATGCTGGTCCCCTACTTCAGCACAATTCATGTTCGGGTCTCATCAAGTTCCGGGTGGTGTCCTGCTGGCTGTAGGGTGTTGACAGCACCTTCAGCCTCTACCCACTAGATGCCAGGAGCACCCCCACCCCAGCTGTGATGACTACAAATGTCCCCAGATGTCACCAAGTGTCTCCTGGGGGACAGCCACCCCAGCTGGGAACCACTGTCTTAGATGCACCTGCTTGCCAACCTGCCTTCCTGGCCTGTCCCCTTCTCAGAGGGCCGGGCCCAGGGCTCCAAGCTGGTGACCAAGGGTAAGAGTGGGTCACTGCTGGGTGGGTGGCCCAGACACATAGACGGGGTTTGGGGGGCTTCCCAGAGGGATGTAGAGATCAGCAGGTGGAGGGGGGTAGGAGGCTGTGCAGCGAGCAGGTGGTCCCCAAGAATCCCGTGTGGTCAGTGGGGACGGGAAGCAGCACTAGGAGGGGCCCCTCGAGCCCTGGGTGGAGCGGGGGAGTATGAAGGAAGGGCGTGCCCACCTGCGGGCCTCCATACACAAAGAGAACAGTGGGGTGCTTCTTCCCGGGCTGCAGGGCGTGGGGCTTGTAGATCATGCCGTAGAGCCGCACGTCTGACCGCGTGTGGAAGTGGAAGATTTCTGGAGGCACGTAATCCGGGGGGCAGCCTGTGGAGACAGAGTGGCTGTGGCTCTGAGGGCCAGGGTGAGCCAAGGCAGGCTCAAATCTGAGCAGGGCCCACATCTGACCAAACCCACACTCCCCCAAATCCAGAAGGTGGGCCAGGAGCACCCCGTCTTCTGTGCTTCCTGGCAGTTAACAGAGTCTGCAGGCTGGAAGTGACCTGCACCCTGGGTGCCTGCACATCTGGGACCCTCTCCACAGCCCCCGACACTGGTTCCTCTCCCCTGAAGGTGACAGCAGCTCTGGGATCTGATTAAGATCAATTTTATGGTGGCGGGAGGGGTCTTCTCTCTGATTTTTATGGTTACTTCTGTTTTTGCAAAGCAACACTGGCTTTTCAATCCAGTGGTGAAGAGATTTTAAGTTTCTTGAAGTAAACAGGGTGTCAATTTAAAAGGCAAATGAATCAACAGTGATATAGGCCAGGGGTCCACAATGTTTACTACAAAAGGCCAGGTAGTATTTTTGGTTTTACGTGCAAAAGAGACATTCTGTGTGTCTGGGTTGTCACCACACTTGTCCCTCTGTATCCTCAGGGGACTAGGTCCAGGGCACCCCCCCTCCCCCACCCCGATACCAAAAGCCACAGATACTCAAGTCCCTCATATAAGATGGCATACACACACCCTCCCGTGTGCTTTCAGTCACCTGAGTTACTTATTATACCTGATACAACACAAACGCTATGTAACTAGTTGTAAACACAGTGTAAGTGCTATGTAAATGGTTGCCATGCACAAGTCAGGTTTTGCCTTTTAGCATGCTCTGTGGCTGGCTGAATCTGTGGCTGGGGGGCCTGTGGCCATGAAGGGCTGTGAGCACTTGACTCTGCTGCGGCCGCCCAGAGCGGCCACAGATGAAGCCAAAACGACTGAGTGTGGCCAGGTGCGGCCAGAGGGCCAGTCTGCCCACTTCTCACA